TGCCACCCACCTCCCAGTGTATGGAAAAGGCTGGTTTTGGGAAGGCACGGGAAGGTGTGCAGCGCGGCGCTGGGGTAGCTGCTCCCGCTCAACCGCACATGGCAAGGCCGATGGTGCAACGGCGTTCTTGGGGAGGGCAGGCTCCCGGCCCCGAGGCATCCCGGCAGAGCAGGGCTCCCGGCAGAGGAGCTGCTCCTGCCGATCCCAACGGGATGCCAGGGGCGCAGATGGGACCGAACTGCGCGTACAGGGCCGTTTCTGGGCAGATGCCTGGGGAGCTGCAAAGGCGAAATCGAAGGTGCAACTGAAACTTAAGAAACCACCGGGATTTCACAGCAGCTGAGCGGGGCTGTCTGCGGCAATTCCGGACTCGGATTTCCACGCTTCGTTGGGGAAGCAGTGAGGGAACCGGTGTGAGCGGGAGGCAGCAGCTCCGGCCAGGCACCAGCCCCCTCGAACCCACTCCCCCACTCGTAAATCAAGGCTGACATCTTTAGGGCCCCACAAAGAACAGCAGGAGCACGGCAGCGAGCTGCCAGGGCCAGACCCTGACTTTATTCTCTTCCAACACAGCAAACAGCATCTCTAATATCACTGCAAAAATACTTTGCCTGGGTAAAATAGGATGTATATACTGTACAAAGACATAAGTTTAATATATCTTCCTCTAAGTACATTTATACACATAAACCGGCATAAATTAGAAAAGGGACAAACGGGTATATAAAATTCTGGTTACATACAAATCTGATTAAATTAGCATTTACACTGTGGTTCTAACAGAGTTTGTTAAACGCAGCGATGCGCATACAGTACGTTGACACCCACCCGGACACAATTAAAACAAGGGGCTAACGGGGCCAGGCACTCGCCTAAACAAACCGTAGGAAAAAAGCAGTGGCCCACCTTGTATTTTATTTTTTCTCTCCTTGGGGACTCACAAATCTGTTCTTCGAAATTCCTGGCTTTTCCAAAGCGCTTCCCAGCAGCTGTCCTAAGCGCGGATGTTTGCTTCTCATCACGACCTCTTCGCTTCGCCCGGCTGACCTCCACGGCACAAGATTATCTACCAAAATCAAAACAGAAGGGCCTTACTTTTCCCAGCAACAGGGCGTGTTTCAAGTTGGTTTTACGCACATGGGGGAGAAGGGGGAGGGATGTCCGGCAGTGTTTTACTTTCCATTCAAAGGCAGATTTGTGAGTGGTTTATTTACTCTCCCCCTCCCCAAATTTGCAGTCCTGGGAACGGGAACCATCGGGGCGGGTGGTAAGTGCGCCCTGTCTGTAGCTGGCACCGGGCTGAGCGCAGCCACGCTTCGCGGGACTTGGGTGACTGGGGGTGAGGCTTCTCTGCCTGGCCAAGTCTCCCAAAAAGTTCGGCTCCTGGCATGGCGGGAGGGCAAAGGTGCGTGCTGGGCCTCACCGCGTCTCCAGACGGAGCCCAGGGTTAAGCATCTGCATGTTAGACCGGGTTAAGAGAGGGAAAGCCTAGCCTAAGGATCAGCAAACCCTTTGGGCGAGAGTGTAAAGCAGGCGCCTGGAAGAAACGCAGCAGCGAGGATCCGGAGCAGCTCCACATCAGCTGCTGGTGGCAGGGGACGAGACTGGAGACTGGAGACTGTGCTGTCACTTGCCCAGTGTTGAGGCACAGGGCATTGGCATTGGATTGCACGTTTCCCAGGAGACCTCAGATCATGTTTGGGTAAACTGGGCATAATCCTGCAAGCCCCAGCTGCCCAAAATGCCTGTCTGAGCCAGCAGGGCAGAAGAGGCCAGTCAGGTTCTGCCCAACTTGCTCATCCCCCATCAGACATGATTATTAGTAGAGCTCCACTGCAAAGTCCATTGCCCTTCCTCTGCTAACAGCCAGCTGCTAAAACGAACAATCGTGTAAAATCATTAGTGTCGCACACCCGCGCAACGGAACGAGAGAAACACCATCCAGCAAAGAGCCAGGAGGAGCTTGGGCCAATACCAGTCCCGCGGGCTGAAGATGCATCTGCAGCTTGGCTGCTTGTACGAAGACCCATGGTTTGGAGCAGCGGGGCGGTGTGCGGACCCCACGCTGGGGCAGAATGCGCCCCCGCGCAGACCGCAGTGCTCCCAGGGAGGGGATGTCGTGGTGGTGAGGGCAGCTGCTGGAGCTCGTGGTCCTGCTCATCCTTCCAGGGAGCAGGCAGGAGCGGGAGCTGCAGCGAGGAGCTGCCGACGGCTGTTGTTCACTGCTGGGGGAAGTTTGTATTCCCCCCTGCGCATCCCGTAAGGAATGCTGCAGGCAGGAGCCACAGGCACGCAGGGGCAGCATCCTCTGGCAGCACAGGCAGGCTGCCCAAACAGTTTTGGAGGTAGCCAAAAATCGATGGGGGTTGTTTTTTAAGACCATATCGGTGAGGGGAAGCTGCCTTGGACGAGCTGACTGCTGTACACGATCCTCCCAACTCAAGGACATGGCTCTCCCGACAAAGCCTTCACGTCAGCTCCGGTCCCGAAGCCGACACGCTTCGGCGTGCAGCCAAATGCAGGGTGGATCGTGTACGCCTGGAAAAGCATCGAGGAATCTGCTGGAAGAAATCACCTCTCCTTCGGAATCCCACAAGTTTTAAGAGAGATCCCCTGATGTGCAGCCCTCGGGTCCACACCGGCCATCTCGCACACTGAATCCCGTAGGATTCCTTTTCTCAAACCTCACAGCACTACCCCAAAACTGTTCCGACTGCGCCTCGCTGGGGAGAGCCACTGCGGCAGCTCCCCAGAGCGGAGCTGCCCGAAACACGAACCAACAGCTCCCGACATGGCAGGAAATGTCACCGACGCCAACAAAGGCACAGGAAAGCGGCAGCCGTGTAGGCAGGTAACAGAAAACATCACCACAACCGTTTGGAGCCAGAGCTGGGTTTGCTCTGCCCACCCCGTGCAGCCTTCTGACCCGGAGCACGGGTGGCCCCGCACCCTCTCCTCACCCCAGCGTCAGCCTGCTGTGCCTCCCTGTAATTCCCGAGGCCTGTCCGTGTCAAAGGAGCTGAGAGCGCTTGATCCGCCCCATCGGCACAAGGGAACCCTCTCGGCCCAGGATCGCTCCGCGCTCCATCAGCGCCAACATCCGCGTTCGCCCCTGCTGAGGCCACTTTTTATGAGCCCTCCTTGGGCTTCTTGTCCTTCTCTCACCCGTCCCTCCTTCCGTTTAACGAAGAGGCAGTTTGCGACCGTCAGCAGGAGATTCTGTGGGAGGCTGAAGCTGTTTCCCTGGCTCTTCGCTGCTGAGCCTCTGGAGTTCTGCTGGAGGTCAGGGGAAGGCAAGATGTTTCAAAACGGAGAGGAGCTGCCGGGTGCGGGCACTGCTGCTTCTCCGAAAGTATGTCTGAGTTCAAAGCCGTGCTCGTGGCGTGGGCTGCGGGTGAATATTCCATCTTGTCACAAGTTTTGAGGTTTTTAAATGTCTTTTTTGTTGCACACTGGAAAACAAACCAAACCCTTCCCATGTTTCCGCCAAGCAGAACGCTGTCAAAACATTTGTGTTGGATAAGGTCAGGTTTTCTCTCCCTCCTTCTCCGCACACAAGCGACCGATGCCTGAAACCCCCTTTGAGCGCGTCACTGAGACCCAACGTCTCAGCGCGGCGACAACAGCGAAGTTCGGTGAAATCCAGAGCATCAAAACATCCCGGCCGAGCCCATGTGCCCCGACGCAGCGGGAGCCAGCGCCGCGCTCGCCAGCAGAGCAGCGGGTATAGACCTAACGGCAAACACCGCCAACACGGGGCACAGCTCCCGTCCGAGCGGCCGAGACTCCACCTGGGCGCTCCCATCGCTACGCCGCCCGCATCAGGGAGTATTTCTGGGAAGCGCCTGCCCTCCCTAACGTCACAGCCGTAGGTTGCTCCGTCAGGCCGGTTACAGCCCAGGATTCTGACCATCAAAGTGCGTTTCAGGAGAGCGCCCGCTGCTGTTACAGCCAGGGCCTGGGGCTGCTTTCCTACGGCTCAGTCCCGGCAGGAAAGCGCATTCAGGAGCAGCGTGATTCCTGCCTCCTGGCATTTGCTTGTCCCCAAGCCACATGGTCAAGAGCAGGTTGACCAGAAGGAAGCAGAGGATTTCTCTCTGGCCCTGCTGCTCCTTCCAGGTGCCCGGGCCACCAGCTTCCCCGTGGCCACACGACCTTGGCCAGAGAAGGGCCATCTCAAATATCCTTCTTGGATAACGGAGCGGGACAGCTAGAAAACTCTTGCCCTGTCTGCAGCAGGTTGTGCTGCAGGTAACGGAAGAGAACTGGGCTAAGGTTGATGGGATTTGAGTGGGATTTAGGTCGTGCTGTTTCAAAGGGAGTCGTGAGCCAGCCGCCCTCTTACCGAAACAACACTCTGCCTCAGGAGGTGCCTCAGCGTACGGAACACCTCCTGCGATCCCGACAACATCCCTACTGCTTCCTTTTCAGGCAAAACTCCAACCGTGGGGACGTAAAGACAGACTAAGGGATGCCAAAGCCTGCCAAGCCTACAACTCGAACTCCATTACGATATTCCGCTGTGCTCATGCGTTACTGCTATGGAGACACCGCTGATGGTAACCCGACGGCAGCAGGGTACCAACATCTGCCCAGGCAGGGGTTAGACACGTAACACGGTAAATGCACGACAGCAAAAGGAGCCGGAAGGACACTGCCAGGCTTAGGTTAGATTTTAAAAACCAGTATCTTCTTCCAGCAGTAACTGAGAAAGTGCCATGTAAAATCATAAACCAGTTAAAAATTCTGTTACACCCTTCATCTTTGTACTTGGGAAAGGAGTTTCCCTTGCAGTTAGCTTGGAAAGGAAGAGAGTGGTGAGGCTCAGGTACGTCCCAGTTGCATTCCATAAACTACTACAACCGACTGTAAATGCAACAGGGAGTATTAAGTTTTTATTTCTAAATGATGGTCTTGCTCAAATCAAACCTGGTAACACTAGAGATCTGCGCAAGGCACAAAGCTGGCTCTGAACGTCACTGCATCTGCACCTCATTCAGCTAGTTTGTTCAGACCCATCTCTAATGAGGTTTGAGCATCTCTGCCCCATCCCTAGCTGCCATTTAGCGGGGATGTACTTTTCCTGGCACTGCCCCTGTAACTTAAGTAGTTATTTTAGGCTTCACAGTGAGCTGGGACAAGGTGGGGGCAACAGTATCTCTTCTGTCAGAGGTTAATACTTTCTTCTTAGGATGAGGGCTGAATTGCAGTTTTAGGGGTCCCGAATGCTCACAGGAGGAAACTCATTCTCGTCATCAAGACACACTGGTCCAGTTGCAAACTCATGCTCTGGGATAACCTCTCCTCGCAGGGCACCACCGTCCTCCGAATAACCTGTCCAAGTAAAAATACAAGATGTTATGGATAAATGGATGGAAGCGGGCTGGAAACAAACAGCGGAGACACTATTTTGTCACCTTTTCAGCACAGAGCTGCTTTCTCTGGCTTTTGGGCAGAGCACTGGGGGACTGCAGAAGGAAAGGTATCTCCATCGACACAACGGATTAGGGAATGGACTGTACGGCTAGCCCCTGTGGCAGAAGCGCTCCTCCTCCCACCATGAATGTAAGCACCAATTCCAGAGTAAGATCCACATCTGTAGGTGACCCTTTAGACTTGGGAATATAAGGAGATTGTATTCTCCTGCAATAATTCAGTGCTGGCTTCGTTAGAGTAAGGTGTAACACGCTGGGGAGAATCTGTAGTGATTGTGCCACAAAAATAGTGATATCTGACTTCGCACCCATGGTTTCAACTCCTGGAAACCAGCCAGGCAGCAGCTGCTAGACTTGGGAATATAAGGAGATTGTCTTCTCCTGCAATAATTTAGTGCCGGCTTCGTTAGAGTAAGGTGTAACATGCTGGGGAGAATCTGTAGTAACTGTGCCACAAAAATAGTGAGATCTGACTTCGCACCCACGGTTTCAACTCCTGGAAACCAGCCGGGGAGCAGCTGTGCTCCGACAGACTGCGAGCTCGGACACGGTCAGTGCCCTGCCAGCGGGCCCGCCTGCGGTGCGGCTCTGCGCGAGAAGAAGCACTGGCAAGGGGTCCCGGGGGCCGAGGAGAAAATGCCTGGCCTGGTTCTGAGGCAGGGGATGAACCGGGTGAGCTCCAGGGAGTCCTGCTGCCCCCATCTGCGCTGCACAAGTGGTGTTTCTGGTTGAACCCTCGGGGAGTTGGGAGACTTCCCACCTTGCCCTACCCCGAGGGAGGGCAGATCTTACCTGGCATGGTCGAAGTTGAAGGCACTGTGCTTTGTCTGGCTACAGTCGCTGCGTAAGATTGAGGTAACGGAGGCCGTAGGTCGTTTTCTTTGTTCTCCTCCATCTTTCCTGAGCTGAGCAGACTAACAGGAGCAAGAGAGGGAAGAAGAGTCAGTCCTGATCCCAACCATCCCTCCCCCAGCGCCGGCTAAGACAGGCACGTGCATCCACAGCTCCCTAAAGGACATCACCGCACACAGGCACTGCCTGCAGCCCCAGCAGCGCGGCAGGAGAGCGCTGTGCCCTCTGAGTAAGGCACGGGGGAGCAGAAGATAGGGAAAACACAACTTCAGCCGGAGGACAATGCTGGCACGAGAATAGAAGAGACTGACCACAAAAGCTTTAGGTTACAAAGGCAAACAGTGTTTCTAATCGCAGAGGGGGCTCCAAAGGGGAACAGGCTAGATGGGAAAAGCAGCGCTGGCTAGTCTAGGATGGAGTTGGAGCAGAGATAGAGTGTGATGCAACGTCACTCATGACCCAAGGGCTCTTTTCGGTCTTCTGATGCTAAGAGGGGCCGGGCCGGGAGCAGGCGGGCGTCAGCGGTGTCTGAGGGCAGTGGGGGTGGCCGGAGCGCACTGGACAGCGCAGCTTTGAAGGGCTGTTGTTTTGTGGCTTTCCAAAAAGCTGTTGGCATTTTCCTGGCTGTCGGCCACCTCCCAGCTTCGAGCACGTTACGTCACACCCCACCCCAAAGGCTTCACATCTGGAGCCAAGTGGTCCAGATGCATGTCGGGGCGGGGGGGAATTATGTGCTTAATCAAGTTTGCATACAAGCTGAACAGCAGCAGGGAAGACTCTGTTTTGGCACCAAGGGCATGCATCTCTGCAGGATTTTGTTTGGGGAAGCTCCCAGTGTCGCTCCACACCATCCTACCCCCAAAATCAGCTCTCCAGCACCCACGAGATGTCAAGGCCTGCTCTGCTCTCCTGCTACCATGGTGGGCAACACTCTGCTGCTGGAGGCATCTCCTAAGGCACAGCCTGCCCACCTCTGCTGTCTAAGCTGTGATGTCCCACAGCTGCCTAGAGAGCTGTCTCTGGATGCTCCTGCAAGAAACCTCCCATCCCTGCCGTCTGACGTGGATCCCACCCACGTCTGCTGGATCAGGCAGGTAAAACCACAGTCAGTTCTAAGGTTCTTGCTCTTACAGCTCCATTTTTTGCTTTCAAGTGCAATTTCCCTTATTTTTTTAAAAGATCAGCCTCCGTATCAGATGTGCCTGGAGGTAGTTACCTGTGTTTCTTAATTAAGACACACTCCCCTCCGTCTTGCGGGTCCAGGTTATAGATGTAGAGATGTCCGTCTGACGTAGTCACCAACAGCCGAGGCAGCTTCTGAATCCTAATGAGAAAAGCACCACGAGTCCAAACACATCCGCACACGGACGCAGCACGTACGCGTGCTGCCGGCTCTGCCGGCGCAGGGGCAAGATAAGGACCGCGGCAGTGGTGTTCGGCAGAGATAGCTGTGTCTGCTCGCAAGCCGGGGTGGCAGAGGGGCTGCAGGCGTCAATACGTACGTGGAGAGGGCGCAGATGTTCCTTTGTCCGGAGATGTTCAGGCGGACAGTGGCAAAGGCGCGATCCTGGTTCATCATGCCCGAAACCTGAGCAGGGAGGTAGTTGGTAGCAGCCTGGAACATCTTTCCCATGTAACCGCTCCAGGTCGGAGGCTCTTCTGGCCGGCTGAGAGGGTCACAAAGCAGCATCAGTGGGGCTACTGCAGTCAGCCATGACAAAACAGATCAGGAACAGCCAAAACGATCCTGATCCCAGAGACACAGAGGCTTTCTTTGGAGCACTGGCATACACTGTGCACCAGCCTAGCCTGATACTCGGGAAGGAGGCAGGGAACACTGGCAGCTAATAAACCCAAAGCAGGCCTGGACAGGCTGGCAGCAGAGATGCAGTGTGTAGCTTTTCCCAAGGAGTCAATCCCACGGGACACAATGCCAAGGAGGCGGTTTGCAGCTGGTATTGCTCATGAGGAGTACGTGGTGAGGAAATGGGGGCCAGTTGCACAAAGGCAGACGCTTGAAGCAGACACAGCCCTGGGGCAGGCAGGTTAACCCGGGCTAACCCCCTCACCTGTCAGTGAGATGCTCCAGTTTAAAGATGTGCACAGTCTCCGTGTTGCTGGAAGCACAGAGGAACTGGGAATCCATGCTGAACACCAAAGAGCTTATGTTCACATACCTAGGGCCAAGCAAAGACAGGACTGGTTGCTTTCTGGCACACTGTTCAAGGGGAACTGCTCAGTTTTGCTCACAGAGGTTGGGGAGGAAGGAGACCCATACATGGCAAGGAGCACCCTGCCTGGCTGCTCAATGACTACCATTTCCCTAATCCCTTCACTCAGCAGAGCTGGGGGTAGCCTCAAGGTAGTGACAAATGGCCAGAGAGGTAGAAATGTCCTTGCTCACAGAGCTGTCTGTGAGTGACGTGTGCTGGCCTCGCTACAGCACCTAAAGCTCGTGCAAAGGCCAGGGAGGATGTCCGGAGTGCTAGGGAGGCGGATACACGCAGCATCTCCTCCTGCGCAGGCTCAGCAGGGCCAGGGTGTCTCAGCCATGGCAGTTTTTGTCCTTTAAATGGGTGTAAAATCACAGGCAGGTCAGGGATGGGGAAGAGGAATAAGCCAGGAAAAGACCTACTGAAGACATTTACAGGAACCTGCAGAAGGGCAGCAAGAGCCCATCACTGCCATTGAGACTTGGACTCTGCGCAAATGACTTGGTAGCTTCAAAACACCTCCTTGAGAGGGCGAGATTTGGGGTGATAACTTTGGGGACTTCATTATTTCAAGTGAGAAGCCAGAAAGGACAGAGTAAACGGACAGAATGTAGCTCTGTTCTCTGCAATCGCCCTGTTCTGCGACACACAGAACTGAATCACCACGCTTGCCGGAGGCAGCTGGGTGCAGTGTGGCTGGCTGGCACAATGGCATTTCTATCTGATACGCTCGCTCGTGTTTTCTTTCTGCAAAAGATGCCAAAGCCACCAGGATCTGACGTTGCCTCGTCCCTGTGTTTACATTTCTGCTCCAGGAGCCCTCTGTGTACTTGTCACCAACAGAAGAATGAACTGACCTTTTCATCCCTCGCCGGAATTCATACAGCTTTTGCCCACCAGGAATGGAAAATACACGAATGACTGTGCCCTACAAAAAATGCAAATGGAAAGATCATGCAGGAGCAGGGCAAAAAGCGTGAGCCCTTTCTCCGACACACCCAGGAAACTCGGGATGTGCAAAGGGCCCTCCTGTTTGCCAGCCAGGGTCAGTCTGAACCCGGGACACTGGGCTCGTACAAGTCAAGAGTCCTTTTAGTGCCCCTCCTCTGTCGGCTGTGTTTAGGAACGGGCAGCTCAGAGGTTCTGCTCTCCATGCTCCA